GGTGGCCGACCCCCGTCGGGCTCGCCGTGGTCTCTGCCTGTCTAACCTTTTCCCGAGTAGAGGTCGTTGCGAACGGACACAGATTTTACGTCTTATTTTACGGAGACTGTAACACTAAAGATGGTTTAAAAACCAAACAAAAAAATGTCCTAAAGATGTCTTCTTCCCTCTTCCTGTCTGATTCTTGGTTGCGTCCCAAAACAAACACACTGGGAGGAAATCCAGCTTTTTCTAGCGGGCTGGGAGCTGGAACCCGGGGAAAGAGAGGAGGAGGGTCCGGGGGTTTCTTCGGCCGGCGCGGAAATGCCCGGTGCTCGCGTTTTGCCCCCTGCTCTTTCCGTTACTCCCGCCGAGCACCTGGGAGCCAGGCCGGTTCCTTCGACCGTGACCCGACCGTGACCCCCCTTCGCCCGTCGCGTCATCGTGTTTGGGTTCGTGCTGCCCGGCGCTGGCGAGCGGGCGGTAAACAAAACGTGACTCGGGGACTCGGAGACGCTCTTAGAGGAAGGGCGTCAGGAGTCATCAAGATCCCCAAGTGGCTCAGCCGTGACTCTAAGGGCTTCATGCATGTGCAACTATAGAAATGATTCACTTTCTTCTAGTAACTCAGAAGCTGGGCCTGTCTTATGGAAAAGAAAACATTAAGAGATTTAAGTGATTAACTCAGGAATTCTCAAACATTTCTCTTTTTCTTATGCAAAAATTCACCTGAAGGGTAGTGTTATAACATAGAGGCTAGGGAAATTCTGGGACAAGCGGAATAGGGAAACTAAGACAGTTAAACAGCACCTAGTAAATCCTAGCATCCCCAAACCGAGGACACTTAAGAGTGAATGGTTTGCGTTTCTTCTCCCCAGCCAGAGGGTAAATACTTAAGTCACGCTACTCAGGGAGACGGAAAACAAAAATCTAAGTGCTGTTTGCCAGCCATACCCAAGGACAGACAAATTAAGAGAATCTCATTTTGGTACCTCAGGATAAAGCTGATGAATATTCTATTGATTCTTCCCTAAGACCTCCCTGAAACACCCAGCCTTTAAATCCCCTGAAAATGAAGGTTCCAGGAGCTCTCCCTCCAGGGAGCACACCCATGCCGTTCCTTTCCCCCTGTCCTTCCCCCACAGGCACGTGTGCCCTAACCTCTAGGGACTCCATGAGACTTGCAACCAGGGGAGCAATGGTCCTTGTTTCACTGTCCTAAGTATGTTTTCACCTAGGTCAGTAAATTGATTGCTTTTTTCTACACTTTGTCTCTTGATTGAAATTTTTCCTTGAAGAAGACAAGAACCAAGGTCTCATCATCTCACTGGTATCAGTAGTACTACTGGTTAAGTATCCCCAACGTGAATAGAAAGCACCACCGGAAAGGGAGGTGGGCCAGGTGCAGTGTCACCTCCTTCTGGCCTTCCCTTTACCTCACCAAGAATCAAAGGGACTAAGGCCTTTCCAACTACTATTAATAGCAGTGGTCCCAGGTACCCTACTGGGGAAGGGCAGAGGAAATTTTGAAAGATAAAGGGTGAGGAAGTTTGAAAACTATAGGAAACTGAAACTGGATGACAATGGGTCCAGGCTGCCCATCACTACTTGAGTCAATTAAGCAGAGACAGGGTTGAATCGTATATGAGGTTTATTCCAATATTGCTGGCAATGTGGGAGAGCAGTAAGGTCGTCCTGAGAAATCTTCTCTACAACCCC